AAAATAAACAATTTAGATTTTCAGTACAAATCGGCAATTTCATACTTGAACCCCTATTATTTAAATACACTAGTACATATTTAAGTTCGGGCTGAATAGCGGTAGTCGTAAAAAAGTTAGAAAGACAGGTATACAGATTTAATTGTGTAAGAAAAACATTTCAAATACTTTAGTTATTACACATGCAGACGTTACACTGTCACCATGTGTATTTTTCAAAATTTTACTATTACATAAATTTAATTTGAAACGCGCCATGTGAATAAAACATTTTATTAGTACCAGCACCTGTCGTCTTTAATCTTTGAGTTGGAGTTTATGTAGGTGACATCGTTTTTAATACAAGACGCATTAATAATAATAAAACCGCGAATTAAATATCTGCTGCTGCATTCCAAATATAAATATTTACTCAATCAAAGTATATGAGACAGCTGATTTTTATTCGCGATTTGTGAGAAGAAATCGCCACCTAAAAAAATGTCAGCCTATTGAACTATACAACAAATGGTTTTTGTTGCTGAAAATTCTACTATAGAATTAAAACCGTTTTTGACTGTTTTTATTTTATAATACGAAAAAGAGTCACCTGAAGTCCAGTATGGAGCATGTTAGCAATAGTTTCGACATCGAGAGTGTTATCCTGAGCGGAAATCTTCTTGATAGCCGAGGACACAATGCAGATGTCTCCGCGCAACTCGCGGACGAGCGCAGTGATCTTTTGAGCATTGCTCAAAACCTCCACACTTTGCGTGTATGGATTGTACCGTACACCGAAGGGACGCTGAATGCTCTCCGCAAATGCTCTATAAAAACACAGTAAATGTATTCACTATTTGAACCATTTTTTTGTTTCCACCCATTTATTTGGGTAGACAGGTTCTACCACATAGCCTCTTCATATAGTATTGTTTCCTTGTTGTATTGGAAAAGGCGCCTAGCGCCTGAAAAGTTTTTTTAATAAAGAGGAATGCTTTAGTTTTAATTCTTTTTTCATTATACTTGCCAACGAAGAGGATGTATGTCTACAAAGAAATTTTAAAAGACTTGCATAGCGTCGGCTAAATTTGAAAACCGCGTAACTCCGTTTTTGGACGAAATACCTTTTTTACTCTTCTAGTGCTATATCGGGCTTGAAGCATAACAAATTATATTATATAAAGTCCTTGTAGACCCGTGGCAGACCTTTTTTAGTTATAAAGTAAAAGTATAATCAGAGACGGTCGTATAATTATTTCTAGTAAGTAATTCTGTTTTTGTGCCCATTCAGTACCCAATCAATGGCGGTTACGAGGTATACGAATTTAGGCGACGGCAGGTAAATTTCTTTATATAGGTTTCGAATTCTTACTTTTAAAATAAAAGCTCCTATGCTTGCTACAGTCAAATTTCGGAACTTATTATACTTTAAGTTAGGATTTTTGCTCTGCCAAATACCTCTTGTATTAAGCCATACCTCATTTTTTCTTTAGCTTCCTCGAAGGAGTCTGTATAATAGTAAGCGTTTTGGTAGGAAGTGATTATGCATTCCTCATTGACGGTGACGTCAGGATCGAAACGTTTTATCTTTTCCGAAGTAGTAAGAGCGTGTTGTAGTTCAGCTACGGAAGATAACAAACCAGCTCCATACACTCGAAACGTGCCGTCTTGCAGACGGCATAAGCCAAACTCGACCGTGAAGAAGTACAGCTGAAAACAGGCTCAAATTTAGGATGTATAAAAGTGGCTATCAATGCAAACAACTTCAACTTGGGCAGCCTCTAAAATAGTGGAATAAAGCAGATATTCATGTATTGCAGTGTGGAACACCTGGTTTCGTGTGTGTATATATATACTTCGCTATTCAGAATACAAGTTGTTGTTTCTTTTAATGATAGAACAGATTATCAGTCGAAATTCCATAAATGTCTTTTGTCAAAATAAGTAAAGTTTTAGGTAACAAGAATAATTTGATTTATTGAATTAAAAATATACAGTAAACAACATACCGTAGCTAATTTGTCGATATCTTCATCAGACGCGCCTAGAGATGCCAGGCCCAACTCCTGGGAAAACTGTGCGAAACTTGGATTTGCCAACAGTGGCATGTGCCCCAGCAGTTCGTGGCAGCAGTCACTGTCATAGTAAATAATAAAAAAATTTCAAAATTGGCGTGGTATTCAAATATAATCATTTGCAAATAATAATAACAATAATAGTGTTCCAGATGATCACACCAATAACCCAGTCTCAAAGTCCTTTTACTATGAATACCAGATCAACGGAATTCACTTAGGGGTTCTACCCAGGACAAACAGAACAGAACCAATTTAGCAAAGTTAATTTATGAAGTTAGTTAGTTAATAATTATCGGGAATCGACCCCGGGCCCTCCTAGTCCAGCGTTCACAGTGCAAATCATTGGGCCACTGAAGTTGTCATATATGGATAGTATCTTCCAATTTTGAATACTCCCATACTGAGTTAAGCTCAAATAAAATTCGAATTGGAACTAAAATCAAATTCGTACTTATACTAAGAATACTTACACTTAGAAGAAACTAAATGTTCCTAAATTCAGTTATGATGCATTACTGTGTAATGAAATTACGGTAATAGACGTTCCTAAGAGTTTTGCACGTCAACGTTTGTTTATAAACTCGTTAGCCCTAAAATTCTAAGTCGTATTACTGCTTGATTACTTCAGCGTAGTTCGAATTTTATTTGTAAATATCATATGTTTACATCACATCATACTGAGGATACATTTGGAATGGTTTCAATTACTACATTACGTACGGGCATCATATGTTTCCACACATGTCTAATTTTGTACCTATGACGTAACTACGTTCTTCTCATCACTCTTGCTCGTAAGTAGTAGTAGAACGTGCTGCAAAACTAAGTGGTATTTTTATAATACGGCACTAGGGCGGTAATGGGTTTTTTGTTTTATTTCTAATATCCCGCCGCGCCGCCAAACTCGCAGCGAGGGAGCCTCGAAGTTAGACCTCGTGTCAAATTTGCGACGCGACCCCAAATTGCATTGGACTTTTTGATTTGATTTATAAAAAAAAAACAAATTTAAATATAGTCCGCTTTATTTCATTTATCATTTTTAACCGACTTCAAAAAATGGAGTAGGTGCTCAATTTGACTGTATTTTTTGTATGTATATTAACTCATTTGTGATTGACATTTGTGAACCGATTTTGATGATTCTTTTTTGTTGGAAAGAGGTTACCTCAGTGGTATTCCCATTTAAATTTGGAGGAAATATTCCACCTCGGAGGACGACAAACTAGGGGATGAATCCGGTTTCGCACAATTTCTGATAACCGATTTCAATAAAACTTGGCAAATAGATGTAATTTCACGAACTTTTAGGGTCGATTTTTTTTTTTAAAAAGTTACAACTATTTTAAAGTACATACTTATAAATACCAAAAGCAAACTAATTTAAAAAAATTCTTTTCATAGCAACAAGTTTTAATGCTTATAATAATATTATTTTTAATTTCGATTTTTGTCTCAGATACTTAATTATTTTGAAATATAATATGAATAAACTATAATGTTTTAAATCTAATTATTCCTTTCTTTTAAACTTCCTCACAAGTGTGATTAAAAACATTCTATGTCACACGGGCGGAACAGTAATCACAAACGTCAGGGCCATTTAACCCTCGCCTTCAGCACGGGCTTTGAATGTCATTCTGTTCATAATTACCATTTCTTGTGACACGTGGTACAATATACTATATAGGGGGTCTCACGGCTATGCCACACGGCGGAAAGTACCTTGAATACCGCAGATACAAAATTTTAAAATTCAAAAATTTTTAAATAATCGCCTGTCTGAACCGCAAATAGAACCCGTCAAGTGTGAAAAAAAACACCAATAATTTTACTCTACTTATCGAAAGCCTGAATCATAAGCATTATTTTCTTCTAAGTAACATAACATCTTAAATAAAAGAAAGACTGAAATTTAACACTGTATAACAATTCGAACAATATATATTTCTTAGAGAAAGCGATTAAAACAAATATGGTGACCATACGTTAACGCATGCAGCACTAGTAATGATTTTTTATGTATAGGTGCTGTTGAAATATTTTATTATTATGAATTGAAGGAAAAATAACACTTACGGTTCTGGAGTGTAGAAAGGATCGGAGGCATGTCGAATATATTGTGTGCAATGGAACACTCTGAATGCCAAACCAGACAAGAAGTCCCTGGGTGACAGATACCCAGCCACTGGACGTAGTTGGAAGCCAGTTTTGCGCTTCAGAAAAGCGCTTACGTCCTCCAACTGGAAGATATCATAAAAATCTTTATTTCGTGACAATACAGATGCAAAGGAAGAAATAAGTTTGAGTCGTGGCAAGATGAACATCGAATGTACCGAGCCAATCAGATACCTACATAAATAATGTCCCCATATATCCGTCGTCTTTTGTGTGATGTTTGAAGTTTTTGCTTCTACCTAGCATCTAACACTTTACAATAGGGTAAGGTATGGATTGGTCAAAAGTAAGTACCTACAAAAGCTTTGAAGTGGGGATTGTTAGTAGTGATGCAACAGACCTCTGCTATCGTAACTGTGGAAGTTCCGCACGGTTTATCATAATTGTTTCCAGTTCCTATTCCCGCAACTTTTGTAACGGAACTTTAATCGGAAGTTTACAACGTTCGCAACCGATCAGCGCGCGAGCGGATTGTTCGGCGATGGGAAGCGTTTTTAGCCATTTTGTGTCATCACAAAAATGAACCCTATCGTTGAGATCTTTACGGCCTTTACACGTCCGCTTCCGCATCCGCTTCCGTTAAGGTTTACTTTTGACATATGATCGCGTTTCTGATTCCGTTGTGATACTTCAGTTGCATTATTCATTATAAGTCTTATTTGTTGAAATACTTGCTCTCCAACCCTGCATTAGGAGGGCATGGTAGGCTCCGGCTTTAACTTTCTCCTAAGAGGACACCTGTCTCCAGCAGTTGGATCTAATACTTCAGAAACTTTGCTGGCGTGGCCACAATAGCTCACTAAAATTATGTTGATATTCAATTATTTTTGCTCCACTAGTTTGTTATAATTATTATTACAAAGAACTAATGCTTAATTGGCATAGCGTCTGACACGGTTTGCTAGAAGACGTAGGTTCGAATCCGGCCGGATCAAAGGAATTTTTTCTAAGTGTTCAATCTTTGTATTAATAATTATAACAAACTAGTGTAGTAATTTCACATAAAATAATTGAATATAAATTCAATACAAATTTAATTAGATCAATAATATACGAAACAAACAAACATCGGTTAAATTCTCTAAATCCGTTTAAGGCTTAGCCTTACCGAAAAGAAAGAAAAGGCTCGATCCACATAAAGTTATTTACAAATAGTAACAAAAAGGCTGTAATAATAATATTATAAAATATAAAAAGTACAATCCGTATAAAACACTCCCTACTAAACAGTCGGACACATACCCCAAAAGGGTATATACACGTATAGCAAATTATTTAAAAACAATAAATAAAACAATAAAGAGAATAAGCACTTCCTCTCGTTTTGAGAATTTTGATGGGAGTGATGACTATGACGAAACGAACCAAGGCGAGTAGTGGAAGGAAAAAGGAATTAGAGAACGTGTCAGAAACGAAAAACGGCCAGGAACTAGTAAACAGGGTAATAAAAAGGTGGGATAACGATGTGGGAAGTCAGCATCGTCACACGTTTTTAAACGAAATCCCTTTTTTACTTTTCAATCGCAATATCGGGCAATTGAAGCTTAAAATATTATTTCTAATCCATAGGTATGTGATTATACCTTTACTTTATAACTAAGATACCTTTATTTACAGTTATTTTAGTTATACCTTTATTTTAGTAAATCCCTTATTTTAGTTATAAAATAAACGTTTAATCACAAATTTTCATATAAAATTATTCTAGTGAGTAATTTTGTTTTTGTGGTTTATAAATTCAGTCGACGAACATATTTTCATGAAATGATATAAATAGGTAAATAACAATGCACATTTCTTTTAACAAAAGTTTAGGACATTCAGTGGGAAGTTCTACTTAAAATCAATAAATACTTTTAGAAACTTTTTTTTGGGATACCAAGTGGCGCGACGAACATGTGCGCCTGGTGGTAAGCGACATACCTGTCCTTAACAGTTGCAGTGGCAAACAGATATTTAAATCTGAAAGGTATGCGGGGCACTGCTACTGACTGTAATTTCATCAGCGCCTTTACCCTCCAAATCAAAATGCAGTGATGTGAGCATTGCTGCTTGGCGACAGAAATAGGTAAGGTGGCAGAACTTCGCTGAACGAACCCTTTCATAAGTTCATAAGGAGCTCTACTGCTACTAACTTGTATAAACACTTACATTAAAGACCACTTACTTTAAAAAACAGTCTATTATTGTTACATAAACTTCATCCCGTGAGTTTTATGAGTAATAAAAGTCTTTTGTATGCCAATAATAACATTATATTGATAACTGTGCAGTTAACGAAATATAAAGTAACGAAAATGAATACTGCTGTTTTTACAAAAAAATAATCACTGTAAATGCTCTTGATACATATTACAAGGTGAAGGTGATCCAAATGTGTACTTATATATCTTTACGATTTACGACGGCGATTTCATACGCACAAACATGTATCACCTAGTTATCCTACTTCCTAACCTACGCGACCAAATAACAAGTTGCAAAGGAAAAAAAATATATTCATGTATACAACAAAACAATTTTTTTTAATAAAGATTATTATTCGCTACATTTTTGTTCCTTATTCTGTATAATGTTAATGTTAATGTTATTTGTAAAAGTACATTTGATATGTCATATTGTATCCAATATAATAACATTATGAATAATTATGTAGATATAGTATAATATATAAGAAGTATTTATACCTAATAAATAAAGTAATGTTTTACGATAGTCTTGTAATTTTCATTTTCTACTTATAATAAAAAAACGTTATTATATATACCTGCGTACCTTACCTTTTATCTTGCAAACTTAGTAGTACCAATATTGCCATTATACAATCGGGAATCACCACATTTATCGCCACGGAATCGCATTAAGTCTACCAGGCCACGTCGGTACCCGAACCGGTAGCGTCAATGCCCGCGTCTACGCCCGGAACGGCGGCTTCGACGGGCGAAACATGGTCGCCTCAATCCGATTCCGTCAATAAGTGTGTTGATTCTCTATATAAGGATATGCCGAAATGTCCAATCACCCACAATTATATCTCCTATCTGGATAGAGATTTATTATAAATTACATAGTGTAAATGTAAAATATATATTACTGGTACAGGATACTTACTATATAAACTCTGAAAGCAAACAAATAAAGAAGACCTCTGCCCTTTTGTTATAATGTAATGTGTAGTGTAATGTAACTCATTTGCATTTCGGTAAGTTTCGGGATTTTGGCACATAAAGCTTTGTTGTCACTTTGTTTGCTTGTCAATAATATTGTACTGTAACCTAACCTAACTGGGTGACCAAATACTTTCACAGATTTCTCATAGATGGCGCTACGGCTAAAAAGTCGTTAAAAACCAAGATACAAAGATCCGACAATCAAGCACATGAAACAATTGTGAGATCCAGTGGTTCGTTCCGTGGCTTAGTTGGCATAGCATCTACCACGGTTTGCTAGTAGACGTCGGTGTGAATCCGGCAGGATCGAAGGAATTTTTTCTAAGTTTTCGATCTTTGTATTAATAATTATAAGAAATTAGTGGAGAAAATTCACAAAAAATAATTGAATATCAGTACAAATTTAATAATACTGTAACTAACTATGATATAAAAAATGTATTAGAAGGGATTCTAGATTTCGTTTCGTTGATCCCAGATATGTTAATAACTCAATGTGGATTAAACGTTTGTCATGATAAAGAGGACAGATATATGGATGCAACTATGTATTCTGTATTTAGTCGTTCAGGGTGCGAGGACATCCAACCTCAACTTCTACCCTCAGGTATTGGTACAAAATTTAGTAATTTAAACGCACCTGAGGCAAGTTGTCTTCACGATAGCCGCAGTATTTAACAAGTTGCGGCCAATTTTCGAGATATTCATCGCATGCGTGCACCTGGTATAGTTTATGAAGCTCCCGGAAAATTATGCCCCTGAAATATTCAATAAAATTTGTGTACTATTAGAGTTAGCGTTCTATTCTGAAAATGGATTTTATTTAATACAGAGATTACTGCTACATATCGTCACTTACAACACTAACGAATGTAATTAACATAGACGAAAACAAAATAATTACACCTACACATCTATATAACGGGAGTGCTCAGAGGAGCTTTATGAACTGGTGCCTCCGTCATATATCCAACCCACATGCCTGACATGCTGAGATTGTGCGGACAATAAGAAATGGGTTCCCCATGATATATTCTTCAAAACGAGTAAACACGGCTCTCAAATGATGTTAACGCCTGTGCTCCTTCTGTGATGTTGCAAATGTCTATGAGCGACCGTGAGCACCTCCTACCAAATGCCTCATCTGTTCGTTTCCTATTTTACATGAAAAAATACAAGACATGAAATAGTAAATCTAGCCACGTGACTTTTTCTGTTAATAATCAGTTATGTCTGTTCGTGCTCAAAAGGACATTATAATATAAGACTATAAAAGAAATAAATAATCGACACTACATCTATAATCGATGAACAACGGATGAAGAGTTGTATGAGCAATCTATACAACAGTGAGCTTATGATTGCTGTAATGCTGAAATACTAACAAGGAAAACTTGGTAGGAGCAAAATAACCAATAATCAGTAATATATGTAAACTAAAATTGTCGTCTATCATCAATTTAAGATGAAACACAATTGTAGGTTATTTTCCAGACTTATAACTTAAAATCACAAAGACTATTCACTTAATCCTCCGCAAATTAGACGGAATCAATTTTTTAACATACATTTTTGTTTCAACTTCGCTGGGCCAATAAATACTTTATATTCGCAACAGCTCATAATATTAAATTAATTATAAACATCTACTACAAACATATGACATGAAAAGCACAATAAAATTGATTTACGCTTCTTCAAAACTCACCAAGTTTTAATTTCAATATCGGTGTATTGAATCCTGGGAATCGGTTGGCCGCTAGCAATACAAAACATCAGGCGTGAGTAACATAGTGTATAACAGAGTTTTTTACTTTCCATTACATCTAGTAACTAGTAAGTCATTATATTTTTGCCCTTCCCATTATAGGGACCGGCAACACCCGTTACAGATCTTTTTGTTCTATCTTTATCTAACAATCTATTTATTAAAATTGTGTATTGAACTAATCTAGTGTTTGGCGCCTTATGTCATTTTTGTTATCCTGTTATTAAAAAAAGACTTTTTTTGTTGGAATTTCAAAATTAATTAGATTTTTGTAATGCGGTTGTCTTTCTAGCTTTTAAAAGACTAAGACTGTGAAATGAACTCGCGTACATTATGTCCAGAATCGCCCATTCGTTCTTAGCTGTTTAATAGTTAGTATCTCGCATTTCCATAGTAGTTTCAAGAAACACAATTTTTGTGTTTGGATGATAATTTGAGTGGCGTTAGATCTTCATAAATTTGCAGAATTTTGGTTGAAATATGTTATTGATTTGAAATATAATATTCCCTTTTTGTTTTTAAATAAAGAAATACCCGAAAATTTGCACGCTTACCTATGGGTAAGCCCAAATAACCTAGAAACAAACATCGTGTTACATAGTATTATCTAAGCATCTACGTGTTGATTCGGTTTTAATTCAAACACCAGAGGTGTCAATTTATATTGTGTCTATGTAAATATTACAATATTGCTAACAACAAACATTCTTCGATATGATCATGTGAATGGTTGCTATTTAACAAAAATAATATTCTTTGAAATTATGTATATGTATATGTATAAGCAAAAAGTTATTACGAAATTATTACTCTGCAAATTATGATGGATTTTAACTGTATTGAAAGAATTACACCATTCCTTGAACTGTGAATTAAAATAAACAGAAAAAGATCAAAGATCAAGTCGCGGATCAGAAAAGATTTCAAACTTTCACCATTTAAATTAAATGTTTAATTTAAAGTTGTTTTAGATAGACGAGCTTGTGGGCGGACATTGTTAAAGACTTTTTAATTTACTCTTTTTAAAGACGACACTTTGCTGTCACATTAACTTCATTTAAAAAGTCTTCGTATCTACGTTGCACCGGATGGATTCACGATATAGTTTCTTGTACCTGTTAGTAGCAAGTGTAGTTTGATTTAGCATGCAAGAGTATAATGTCTGTTTGGTTTTCTATCGTACACACAACTGAAAATCATTGGGAATGCACTTGTAAAGATTTCTGTACTTTGGTGTTTAAATTTTATAAAAATATTTACGTAGAATAAACGAAATTACATTAGAATAACTTACTACTTGTAATTATTAGCAATAGCTGCGAATTGCTCTCGACGCTTGCGATAGACAGGGTCTTTAAAACCGGGATGGTCAGCGTCGAGTTCGGAGCCATACATCAACACATTCTGGGCCCGGTCCAAATCTGATATCTTGCGGGGAAACCATGGCATCTCGCCGAAGTCTGCAATATATAAACCGCAATACGGCATTAATCGCGTACGGCATTATTATTAATAGCTTCTGCTCATGATTTCGTTCGCGTCCATGGTTTAGTGCTATTATGTAACACTTTGGTTACAAGCCCTTAAAGGTTTTATCATACATTATTATCAATCAATTCGGTTATCAAAATAGCGGATAATAGCCTTCGGCACAAACAAACCTGTCTTAAAAACTGTCATATGACAAAATCTTCTCAAGTATCATATTTCCAAGAACTAGCTATTAAAAGATAACAGGTGAAATATTAAGCTGTCGATGACTATATTAAGGAATGGAATTTATATATAACCGTTTTTTTATGTAACCAAACGACTGGACGAACTAGTCGTGCTGATGCTAAGAGACACGCCTGTCAATAGCAGTAGCAGTGCCATTCAGAACTTAGAATCACAAATATCATAGATAGAATCTATAAAAAAGAATATAGAAGGGCACTGTCACAGCGCCCGTCACCCTAAGGCATAAGTTAACGTTGAGTTGAAGTTGAGTTCCAATATTTGTAATTATTGTTAATTGTTAAAAAAATTTAAAGTTGGAAAGAAATTGACCGCGGTGTTCATACTTTGTGGCAGTTGAAAAAATACGATAGACAAGGTGTTTGTTCTTGACTGTACTACTAGAATAATAACCTTTCCGATGGAGATAACAATTATGGTTCGTAATAGGAGGAAGACACCACAAAATTGGTCATTAAATTATTTTGAATAGGTACATCAATGTGTAATACTTTCGACGATCTCCGTAGTTGAGTGACTTGCATACGGGTTTCGCCATCTCTGAGATCCCGGGTTCGATCCCCGGTCGGGTCAATAACGTTTCTATATTGTCTCGAGTCTGGGTGTTTTATGGTACCGACGTTACTTTCGGTTTCCATAACACAAGTACTTTAGCTACTACTTCTTTTGGGATCACAGCAACGTCGTTGATGTTCTCTAATATTTATATTTTTTTTTTATTACTAATTTATACTCCTACTTTTACGTAGTAAAAATAGTACGTACTTATTACAAAATTTGCTGCAATTGTTCTAACAATATTTTTGAGATAGCTATAGTACAGTGAAATATGAATTAAAACCGATGAGTGTTACAGGTGTTTTCTCATATTAGACAGGAACAAAAAAAATACTGAAATCCAAAGTTAATCCCGTTCTTATACTAACTACTTACTATAAAGCAAAAACATCTATACGTAGTAAACATTACCAAAACTTGCAGCAGCTGACAAAGGCGTTGGAGGTGGAAACTCGTCTCCCGACTGAGAAGGCACCACCTCAAAGTCTTGAACCTCGCGTTTTAGCATCCTTTTAAGTTGTTCCATCCTATGTGGGTCGCACTCCACGTCGACGAGGATATCAGACTGTTTTTTACAAAGCTAATTTTAATACCAATTGAATTTATTATAGAAAAGAACGCAATCAACATTATTCTTTTGCTGAATTGCTAAGTTAGAAAATTATTAGTAAACTTTAATGTTTCTTATTTGCACATACACTATTGTTCGCTCAAAAATTTCGTCTAAATAACTTACAGACGACATCTCTGTCACTGACTTCCTTGACTCAATATGGAGGACATTGATGCCTAAGTCTTGGAAGACTGACAACGCGCGGACCAGTCCCCCTACTTGGTTCTTCAAAGTGAACATCACGGAAATTCTTTCTCCCTCAGGGAAATTCTGTTGCCGAGCTGCCATGTTCTGAAGCTCTGCCAATTTCGGATGGTGAGGAGCTTCACTCTTCACTTGCCATTCCGAGCCATTCCTGTACAACCACAACCCCAGCAGACCTTTTCCAGATCCACTCATTGTAAACAGGAGCAAACAACGTGTGCTGTCTCTTTTGGAGTCTCTTTAAAGACTGGCACTTAGAATAAACCAAGTAATAATATTATTGAAATCGCGATGTAATGAACAATATGTGAATTATGAGTAATGGGAACTTTAGGATGTGAGTGAATTATTTATTGTGAACTTGTGGAGTTGCGTTGTTGCAGTCTGGATCGCACTGTACCGTACCGCGGCTTTCCTCGCCTTATAAAGAGAAGAGGCGCGGGAGACCCGCAGGAGGGTGGGTTTATTTGATTGGCTGAATCAAGTGTTCGCAGTTACTTGGAAAATGTTCTCGTTTGACATCACAAAGATACAATCACACTTTTTGCGATTTGTAGGTTTAATTTCACACATTTTATTGAACTCAGTTATTTAGTGATATTTCTTTTAGTTCTGAAACTGCAACACAAGAAAATATAACGAAGATTAATACGCGTAGTAATAATTTATCCGTTTACAATAAAAAAAATACACGTAGCCTGTGTTGCCAGATGGTTACATTTTTTTACATATTTCGTAACTTTTGATCTTGTAATATGTAAGTAACTTTTATTTTTAAGGTAATTTTCTTAATATATTAATAATGTTTGCTTAGTAATATAATATGTATGTAATATGGAAGATAGAGAACTAGCAAATACGCGCTGCCGTAAGTGTGTACCAACCACAGGGGGATCCTATCTACTCCGGTGGCTGTAGGTGTTAAGCTTTAGTCACTGTATTTATTACCATTGTTTAGCGAAAAGAGCATCCCCTATCATTCATTATCTAGGTGAAACCTTGCTATTTATTCACGCTATCTTTGGCATGTATAAAAATAGAATAACTGTGTGTGTAATGAAATATACAATTGTGATGTTTGTTTAAGATATTGTTGTAGTTATACTTAAAAACAAATTTGTTTCAAAGTATAACTTGAACGATATAAGAACGTGTTGTTGATCCTACAATTGGGTTCATTTCTTTGTTACATTATTTATTATTTTTAATAAAATTAGTTTTTATTTTTAAAAAAATGCTGACCTCAAAATTTTACTCACCCGCTTTCGCTATATATTCGTCGTCTCGGTCTCCTAAACCGTAACTGAAACGCATTTAGATATCCTCGTCAATACGAAGCGTATGAGCACAAACACGAAGTGTTGGTTTTCACTGTTGTGAAGTTCCTCTCATCTGACTGCCATTACCACCATCGGATCAGCTTTAGGTCACCACAACATTTAATTTTCTTAGGTATGGATATTTATGCACAAAATTTTATTGAAATCGGAATAAAGTGCGTGAAATTCAATAAACCATTAATCAGATTTTAATTACTACTAATCATCCCTAATTTGCCACCAATTAAGAGGTGGAAAATTTCTTCAAATTGGTTTGATGACCACTACTGAGTGACATTCCTACAAAAAAAGAATCATCGCAATCGGTTTACAAACGTCAAAGTTATTGCGTTACACATACACATAAATTCGAGTCGAACGTTGAGAACCTCCTCCTTTTTGAAGTCTGTTAAAAAAGCATTTTCAAACTGCCTCTGTGGCCGAACGGTTACCATGCCGGAATGCCACACAGAGGTCCTGGGTTCAATTCCCGGGCCAGGAGAAATATTTGTATGGCCTACGTTTATTTCTCTCGTGAGTTTGAGTATAATTTGTCGTTGTCCATGTGTGTGTCCATGGCATCCGAGCCACAGGGTTTCCCTAGTGCGGGGCTATGAGTGTGTGCACGTTATTATTATTATTATTTTATTGTGGTTAAGATATTCACTTGAATTGCACAAGCCATAGCGTCTAGTCACATCTTGACTTGAGACAGTTATCAAATTACCTTATGTTATAACATATGTTATAACATGTGTATTAACACATTTCTGAAAAAATATAATTGGTATCATTATTACGGTTTCAGCGTCAAGTGTTCTCGTATAACGAAAAGAATGCTAATACAGATTCAACACACCTCTTGTAAGTCATTCTTTATTTGACACAAGATTTTGACACTAACCTCAATTTACGTTCTTGAATTTAGAAAATTTGTAAAGTAATATAATTGTCTTTTCTCACAAATTAAAACCCTAAAACGTAACAATAGAGGTCTACTCTATTAGTAGCAGTAGAGCACCTTGTGAAAGAGTTCGTCCAGCGAAGTACTGTCACCTTACCTATTTCTGCCGCCAAGCAGTAATATTAGCATTACTGTTCCGGTTTAGAAGGGTAAGGGTGTTTGTGAAATTGCAGGCACATGGGACTTATCAACTTATGCCTCAGGGTGTCAGGCGTAGTGGCAGTGCCCCTCAGATCTTTGCGATTTAAATCTCTGAGTGGCACTGCAATTGTTATGGACAGGCGTGTAGCTTATCATCAGGCGCACGACTTATTCGTCCCGTCACTTGATATTATAAAAAAAATATATGTTGAAACGTCGTTTCAGTACTCTCAGTCTATATCATTTAGGGCCCCATTGTTTGGTAATTAAAGCATATAATGCGATTCCAATAAATATAAAAACACAAGTTACACATAAGGCTTTTGTAAAACATTTTAAAAACTATGTCAAAATAAAGCTTTTTATTCTATAAAAAAAAAAATTGCTTAATGAATAATGAAAAGAATGAAAAAAGAGAAAAAAAATATGAAAATAGTGCTTAGGAACTATACGAATTTCAAAGCATGTAATTTGTAAGTATGCTATCTAAATACCTAACGATACATAAGTGTATCAGGAATGAGATTTTAATGTTATTTATTTATGTTTATTGTTGTTATTGCCTAAAATTCTATTTAGTTTTATCATTAATTATTTATATTTTTATTTCAACATTGTAATTAGTAAATTAAGGACTTAGTGCCCTCAAATTTTGCAGTGCCCCTAGTACGGGGTGTTACATGTTAAGTACGTAGCTTAAAACACTTGTTCTATAACCATGTGACTTGCAAATAAAGAATAAAGTACGTTCTCAGATTATGCAATCGTACAAAAACATACAGTTCACACTATTACCCACAGGCCTCCGAGATCAAATACTACCATGAAAATACAAAATAAACCGGTGCACAGCTTTTCCTCTATTTTTAACCGACTTCAAAGAAAGGAGGAGTTTATCAATTCGACTGTATATTTTTTTGTCTGTATGTTACTCGATAACTCTTTTATTATTTATTTCATTATCTCATTTCAATTTGAAGAAAATGTTCTACCTATAAGGGTGGCAAACTACGAATGACTTTTGAGGTCGGTTTTTTTGGTACTCTGTACTGAGATTATTACAATATATTTTTAACGTCAGATACCGGTTTGTAAATTATTACAAACCGGTGTCTGACGTTAAAAATATACTACTAACACAAAGATCGATTACTACGAGTTTTTTTTTTTCAATCCAGCTGGATTCGTACTAGTGCCTCAGCATACCGTGCCTGACGCTCTCCTAAGCTACGGAAAAAACCAGACGACGAATTTATCTATGTGCTTGTTGCAAATACCAGTTTTTTTGCAAAAGTACGGTTCGGTGTCAGCGTACAGTTTATAGTCTTTATCTAGACTGTTTTTTTATATATTTTTGTTGAATATAGGAATAGTATTTAACAATGTGAGAAAACATACCATAACGTAGTTTCGCGGTAATTTCACGGAGTAACGATGCGTAAATTCTGAGGGAAGACAGGAGTGACGTCAACCAGAATAAGCTTTTGTAATAGTCACGCCCACATACGGGTCATATCTGTAGTTAGCAGCTTTGTACTGTAATCCTCTAATGTTAAGTAAAGGAATCATATGTATGTAGGTATATAGTTTCTTCGGCTGTCCTAAAATACGTTTTTATAGTATCTAAAGGATGTAGTTATCATTTTCATTGTAAAAAGTTGACATTGATATTTGTTAAAATTTCAAAATTTATTCGTCGTGTTGCATTGTTTCTTGTTTCTTTAATATCTTAATTTACTAGTATTTGTAGTACGGTTGTAATTTTAGTTTTATAAGGCCTTTGCAAGCAATTCACCACAATCTCTACCTCGCTTCGGCAATTACTTGTTAAAAACCAAAAATAAAATTCGTAACGTCTACTGATTCGTGCCGTAGCGTCAGACACGATATGCTGAAGGCGCTGATTCGAATCTACCCAGATTGAAGGAATTAGTGTTCGATCTTTGTATTAATAATTGCAACAAACTAGTAGAGTAATTTCACGAAACCAAAATTGAATATCGTAGCAGTAAAAGGTCGGGTTATTCAATAAACTTATTATCATATTCTTATTGCTCAAATGGTAGACACAAACACAGTTGATTTAACTCCTTTGTCGTTTGTCGTTTTTTCGTTTTCGAGTGTAAATTTATTTACCTATGGAATAAATAATCTTTGACTTTAACTTTGTCTACAAGCACCCATAAGATGGAACAACGCAGCTCATCATCAGCATAGACATAGACTCCGCCGCGAGGTATGCACCTATGCTCAAAAAAGTATCATAAAACCAGCTAATGTTTATCAATTTCGTATTGGCGATGGACTTTATATAGGTGCAATCAAAAGGTGCAAAAAATACAAGGTGAATTAAAATAGTGAAAACTATACAGCTATTGATCGTCATCCTTTTGTAGGCGAGTAATAGGCATAGATTGTTTGAAAAAAAATCCCCCCGCACTTGTATTCCCATTACCAAATGGCTAGCTGAAGCAGAATGATGGCTGATTTACTTGTGGCTAGTTGTCTCATCATTTCTTGTAGTTGAGCACCGGGCAGAAATGAGCAGTCATATAAAGATTGTCACGAACCACGTAACAGTCCAGATCAATTATCATTGACAGATGAAACAAAATCGAAGTTACACACCTACTGTACATGGATGACATAAAACTATACGCAAGTAACAAACCTGAATTAGACCATCTATTAAGACTAACAGAAAAATTCAGCACAGATATAAAAATGACTTTTGGAACAAATAAATGTAAAATCAATAGTTAAAATAAAAT